GCCCTTATTTATATATCGATTTTCTCGGTACATTCCGTTTGATGATAAATGCGGCAAATCATTCTCTTTTTATCGCTCAGTCTCGAGCACGTCAGCTTTATGTTGCCGGCTTCTGTGCCCTCAAGGATATCGCTTCTGCGGAGCCACGTGATCTGACTACGCGTTTAGCCCCCTACTTGTCACGTCGACAAGCGAATGAGCTTATTCAAGCTGCACGGATGCTGATTTCCGAACGCGCTGATGCGTTACGTTCAGAAGCCACTGAGCTACTGGCTGGTGTCCATCCCAGAAGCACTATGTCACAACTGGCAGAAGACCTTCAGTTTCGACAATCATCCAGGTCCAACCCGACCGTGAGCATGCATCCGACGAACAGTGACGGAATGTCCTCTCCAAACTCTACTCCAATTGAAGATGAAGATCTGTTTGCGTGAATGTTTCTTACTTGCCATATCTCTCTTCTAGAATGTCTGATAGATACTATTTGGCCCGGAGAGCATATCCTGTGATTACCTATTGGTAAGCTTCACGAGGCTAACCAATTCTGACGTACCTGTCTTTGTCGTTGATTTGCTATTTCTTATCCGTTGTATATAAAACCTATGTCACCTTACCTCGTATCACTTCACATTTTCTGCTGTCTCCTAATGATGACTAAAACTTGGAGGAGATTCATTAGATTTCCCATGTTCATGGTTTTTCTCATTATGTAATGAAACTTTTTCGTTTGACTTTTATGTAAAAATTGACAAAATAAACTTGCTTTCATCACTGGAGTTTGTTCTCTTAGTTTCATTTTCACTCTAAAATGTGTAAGAAGGTAGCTCACTGATGTATACGTTTCATATCGAGCCAATACGTAAAATCGCCGTTCATACAAATCGAAAAGCTTTTTAAACGTGCAAACTAACATATCAGAAAAATTTCGAACACAGTTCGGATGCCGTCACACGGCGTGGGACGGGAGCCAGTGTTTCTCGAAATGAATGCCGCTCGGCTAGATAGAAGAAGGGCTGCATTTTACACAATCCAACGCATAATGGGAAATTATCTCATCTGTAGTTCCTGGTAGGTGAAAAGAAGCCCTGAATTCTATCATAAAAGGACATCTGACCAAGATCAACAACTCATAAAAATTTGAGGAGGGCGTGTCTGATACTCGGCCACGTACTCTGCCCAATCAACTGCCTAAAACTATCCCTGATTTGACTGACAGAATCCCATTTTAACGATGTTGGTGTACGAGGAGGAAAATCGAAGCGTCTTTTCCTTGTAAGAACAACCCCACCATTATTACGCCTTTTTTAGGTGGCACAGACCTTGTCATCAGAGAGTATGTGACACATTACTTCGCGCTGTCTAAACGCGAAACGTCTGAAATGAGAAAAATGATAAGCGAAACTACGTTACTCATGAGTAGCCAACATCTGAATACGAAACCGAGATATCTTGTGTTTGAGGATTGTGAACGGAACACAATCAAAAGCTGCTCACAGCTGTCACTACCGTCCTATCGGTAATATTTTTATCTAATTCGGTCGCTAAGTGATTACAGTGCTATTCGAGAAGGATGTAAACCGAGCTAAAATGGATACGTAGATGTGGATTCAATTAACTCCATTTGGAGCGTGATCTAACCTGAGAATGCCGGTGTTACTACCCTTTATTGCATTCGCAGAACCACAAGCGATTTATTTATTAGTAACTTGAAACACCAAAACCTCGTTCGATTGTCTAATGACCGGAATTACAGGGATTAGTTACGTTGTATAACGTTTCCATGACATTGTAAAATGTTTTCATTTTGTGAAGGATTTTTCCTTCGTGTTGGCACGAGAAAGGTCCTAGAGTTTTGTAGTACTATAATTGAATTCAGAACGCACCATTTTTCCGCAATTTATGCAGATTTGACGTGCATCTGGCCGTCTTGATTACGAAATAGTGTACGGTTCGAATATCGCCAAAATTGTATTCAACTGGCTTTTATTTGTTGCTCATGACTACATTACTACTTGAACGTGTTTCTTTTGAACGTAATTTACTTATTCGCTCCACAGAACAAACAGTTTTCAAAAATATGATCCCTGTAGTGATAACGATAGCGTTTCCACAAGCACTGAGAACACTCTGACTTTAAATGCTTGTGCCCTTATAAGGGAAAAAGATATACCTAAGTACTTTACACTACTAAACACCAGATAAGTATGAACATCAAATATTTCTGGAGAAAATATTGTGATGGACTAAAAGTTAATCTCTACCTCCGTGCTCCTATCGGCCGAAGCAGTAAAGATAACAGAATCATCCCATAATGAGGTATTAACATTTCTCCGTAAGAACTATAAAACTTTTCTACCCCATTCGATCACCTCTCCCGTTCAGACTTTTCAATATCTTCTTTGGTAGGTATGCGGTGCTTCGTTTTTTGTTGGCTAGTTGAAACCCAGGAAGATCTTTCCTATCCTTGAATCGGACAGTTGTCTAACAGACTTTGTTTATCCTAATCTGGTCTTTAACTGAATGAGCGGGCCAACCTCCTGCCACGTTCAGTTGTGCGATGCGTGTTCCAGTCCAAGAAATGTCCCGCTTAGACGCCGTTGTTTTCCATTGCACTGTATTAACCAACTGCACAAATCGGCTTTCGCAGACGAGGCGCATTGTTCTCCTTTTCCTTTCACCCTGATAAACGTAAATGTTCATTTTGGCTTCTAATTAGACTGTCCTTGTTTTTCTGGAATAACTCACTGGACTAGATTGAATTGTAGGTCAGCTATACTTTCGAAGGACCCCATCTGAATTCATCAAATAGAATCACATTTTATTCGTTTCTTGTAAAATCGTGTTTGTGACTTTCCTTGAAATTTATTCCTTCGATTGAAGTGAATAGATAGTATCCGCTACCTTGTTCGCTAGTGGATATACATTATTGATGAACTCTGATCAGAGCGAAAGTCGCGGTCGGTGCTTCCCGATCGGATTAATCGAGGATCATGCGTCAAGTTTCAACCCGAATTATGTTCGGTCTCCGTGACCAAAATCAATCCCACATCATTACTCACGAAAAACTCATAAGCTCATAAGATGCTCGATGACCTATCGTCTTGTCGTTCTCATCCGTCCACACGCTCGTCATTTCGACATCTACCCTCTCGCAGTAACATTTATAAAAATTCCCTACGTGACCCGACTACTTATCAACAAGGAACAGGTCTCAAGTGAACTACGTCAAAAGTTTTGTAGATAAAACAAATATCAAATTCTTTATCTTTCGTTTTTATTATTACTTCATGCTGCGTAACGAACAGTGTACATTTTTAACTGAAATGTAAGCATATATGCTTACACAAGTTATATAAATACAAATATTTGTATTACTCTCATCCAGATCAACGATAGTGGTGTTTTGGACAAGCCGTTTACACAAATTCGCATCGCACTAGACTAATCAGTGCATACATACCATGAAATAGCTTGGTCTTTGGTAGCTCATAGTTCAGTCAAACCTCCAGACGATCCGAATCGGTAACCGGTGTAAAAGAAGGAGATACTTGTGGCTTCGGTCTGTCATGATTTCGAACAAGATGCGTGACGGAAACTGCTCGGTAGAACGTGCTTAAAAGTTTTCATGATCAACTGAAGTTGCACTTGTCTGGTGTGAGGTTGGAGTCAGATTGTACGATTCCAATGACCAAAACATCACGATAGTGTCTAATCCGGTGCAATGCTTACTTGCATGGTTGATTTGTGTGAAACACTGTTGTATTATCTTTGGAAGACTGCTAATGCAGTGAAATTTTTTACTTTCCATCCTCCTTTATTCCCTGTGTCCGATTTGACCGCCAGCTAAATTCCCACGAGTTTTCCGGTTGCATTTTGGCCATTTACATCTGTTCTTCACCTGCAACGTGTTTTCATTTAATCTCCTTAGGCATGAACGAAATCCAAATCCCTGTGGACAACTCTGTCGGTCGCAAGATTTCGTAGTGGTCTACCCTGGTTGATTTTAAATGAATATTATGCTATATAGCTCCCATCCGTCTGTTTAATTGCCCCTTAGCTACTTTCCTTTGATGCGAACCCTCGCAGTAGTCGCAAACGACGATTAGGTATGTAATTGTGAACCGCGGAGCATGATATGTCATTCATTTAACTATCAGCAAGTGAAGCAGGTTAGGTGACTGATCATGCAATGTCAGTGCCACACTGAAAATCTTGCAAGTACTTCAAAGTTATTTTTGTTCTTGTTCGGCATCTTCATCCAAGCACGTGCAAGGCTGATAAATTAGGAATTCTCATGGCATTAATAGTGCTTGTAATTTGGTGCTGTTTGATGCATCTCGCACACTTTTTTCATTCCTTCACACATGCCTAGATACTACCAAATATCTTAGAACTGAACTGAGTTAATTCATAACTGCATGAATTTCCCGACCACTTGAAGTGCTTCCCAGTTTAATCGATGAATCTGTATTCGGACCTCTTCTGAACGAACACCATCAAACACCGTGTATCTTATTTCAACGTCTTTTGGTCCCAAATCATCGATCTTTTGCCTGAAGCGATTCGTTTCATTTGATGCTTTATTCAATATCCTGATCAAGCCCAAATAGGGGTTTTGATTTGTACTGACTATTCTTTAGATTTCACTTTCACACACAATCCTCAGTTCATCGAAAATCCTAGACTAGTGTTGCGCTCTCATTCGAGCTCATCAATAGTGTAAATCCGCCGTCCCGTCCGGGCTTTGAATTCCGAACCCATCGCATGGAAGGCATGTGTGCTACCACTGCACCAACCAGCTCATATCAGGACTGAAGACGACACCTGAACAAACATGAATTAACAATTCAGTGGATTCGCACAACCGATGAGACCCAACCAGGTCGAAACAGTTGTCCAGTGCTTCCCATCTTTTCAGTTCACGCCTCATTTACACGACGAATTTACCATATAAACAAATCAAATTCTCCATTACTGTCATACAAAAAAGATTAGTTTGTTTTCTGATGCTTGATATGATTATATATATATATAGAGAGAGAGAGAGAGAACGCACTTGTTAGTCTCAAATCCACTCTCCGAGCTGCAAATGAGATTTGTATTGCATAATTCACATTGCGAGTTCAAGTATAGGAATGACCAGACGGAAGACTACCGGATACGTATATCTGACGAGCTACAAGGACTGTGAAACCGGTAGTGTGCTTCTGGGAAATTTTCTCCAGTCATTCAAAAACTACTCATTATATATGTTTATATATACCCAAATTTTGGGTTTCTCATTTTCCTGATAACCGGATAACATCAGTCAGTTACGCGTATTGTACATTTCTAATAGGCTAACAGTCTTTCGTTGTTGGTTCTCATCAGTAGTAGCAAACACCTTGTCTCCAACTGNCAACTGCGCACATAAAACTCTGTCTGTCTTATTTTG